GCCAGGAATGTTACCAGTTACTCCTCTCCCTCCCCTGCTTACTACCCTCTCACCAGTATACTCCCCTCCCTCCATAGAAGCTCCCACAACAATTTGGTATATATCCTTCCAGACTTTTTACACTGTATGTATATGCATATATTTAAGTTCATATGTCTTTTGGTGAAATGTTATGATTTTCTTAGTATAAGTTTTTCACATTTCTTATTAAAATTATGCCTAGATATTTTAGTTTTATCACTATTTCAGGTGAGGTTTCTTCATTACATTTTCTAGTTGAGTATTGCTAATATTTAAAGTTGATTTTACATATAAGCCACATTATGTACTGTCTCTTTAGTTCTCATGGTTTTTCAAGGGATTCACTTTGATTTTCTAGTTGTATAATCTAACAATAGTGGCAGTTTGTTTTCTCCTTATAGCCAATTTCTCTTTCTTGCCTTGTTGCATTGACTGAAATTTGCAAAGTTGAATATTAGTTATGATATTCAACATCCTTATTGCCTTTTCATTTTTTAGCAGAAATGTTTCTGATATACTAAAATGGACAAAGTTCTTTTCTAATTTTGATCTACCAATAATAAAAAAAAAATCAGAATGGGTATTGAGTTTTAATGTTTTTGTAATGTCTATTGAAGGGCATTTTCTTCTTTAATCTGTTGATGTAGTGAATTTCAGTTATATATTTTCTAATCCAATTATATGTTCTATAATTGGATATGGATTTACTATTTTTAAGTAATATGTGTTTGGTAATGTGTATTTAACATTTTTGCATTCACCCAATCAGTGGAATTGGCCTGATGGAGGGTGGAGGGAGTATGCACACATAACTTCTATAGCAGAATATAATTTTTTTTTTTGCCCAGCTATTTGGCATTTCTTACATCAGAATATTTTTAAAATAACAAAAGTATTTATTAAAATATTGGTTTTAATATTACATATTTTTTCTCTATGGTCTTCATTATATATGTCTGCTATTTGCAGAAAGATAACCACCTGATATTTCTGAATGGTGCTAATCAAACTAACAGCATTTAGAGCCACTTATAACTGCTATTGATACTTAAACTAAAAAAATAAATAAGCTAAGCTTCCCAAGAAGAAAGTCATTCACTTGCTGTTCTGTGCCATTCAGAGGGCATCTAAGAAAAATTCGCAGTGCCAAAATGTTTCACCAATATATTTTATGCATGAATAGTTCTCTTAGGTAAAGTCAAGAGTCAGTTGATATTTATAATGCTAATTTTTATATTGTATTGATACTTAGATCTGTTTTGAATAATATTAAATAGGCTTTGCTCGTAAGCAGAAAATGATCATTGAAATACACAAATGGTAGATATCTTCACAAAGTCTGTTTTATGGTGTAGAACAAAAAGCAATTCGCCAACCAATGTTGGACATTATAATTATGAAACAATTTTTGGTATCATTTTATTGGTTTACTGATGTTCATTAGTGTGTAGTAAAGTATATGAAATGATATTGGAGGAAAAATAACCTAAAATCAACCTTGGAAATATGAACAGATACAATGTATTATTTTGCCAGGCTTAATATTGCTTTTTAAACTTTATTGAAATATACATTAAGAAAAGTATACAGATCAGAAGCATACAGCTTTGTGAATTTTTACAACCTGAACACATATGCATGTGAGTAGTACCCAGATTGAGAAACAGCATTTCCAGTACCTCAGAAGTTCCCATTTCATCCCATGCTTTTTTTGGATTTCAGCCTTCCAGAGGTAACCACTGTTCTGACTTCTAACAACATAGATTAGTTTTGCCTATTTTTTTTTTTTCACTTCAAGAAAATCATCCTTTATGTGCTCTTTCGTGACTGGCTTTTTTGCTTAACTTTGTGAGATTCATCCATTGCACACTGTTTATTGATGGTTATTTGTGTAAATTTGTTTGGGTTATTATGTATGATATAGTACTAAAATGAAGAATCTCACATATATCTTATAGTGGATATGTGGCTTTCTAATACGCTAATTAGTCCCTGAAATATTAGTCACTAGTTAATATTCAAACAATTTATATTAAGAAATAACAATCTATTAATTATCTGATCCCTAATGTTTCTCAAATTAATGACAGTAGCAACTTGATAAGTTTTGTTCCAACAGACAGTGAAATTACTGACAGATCACCTTGAACTTGTGGAGGATTATGCATTGTTGGAGTGGATCTGTTTCAGTTTTACCCTTAGTCTTGGAACCTAGTGTTAAAAAATAAAAAGGCACGGCCTTTCTGAAGTTTTGATAGAAAGCACAAGGTGTTTACCCACATTCTCCCTTCAGACTCAGTCTCCCCTGTAACAGGCAGCTGCTGAAATCTTTGATCAGTTCTTTCAGCCTTCCCAGCTATCATTTTGAAACCTTGCTCAATCATGTACAGTTCAAAAGCTCCCTGCTCTGTGGATTACTCCTTTCCAGCTGCTCTGGCAATCCTGGACTCCATCTCCAGGCACCTTGCACTAAGATTACAGCTTTCTGCTTGAGTTCTCGATGCTCCTAGCTTGTCTAGACTAGAGAATACCTTATGGGAAACACCGTATAAAGTTGGATCTAAATCCATTGTGGTTCCTTTTTTTGAAAGAAAACCCTAGTTTTTTTCCTGCTATTAGTCACTCTCTGGTCTCTGAAAATTATTTTTCTGTTTTGTCCAGAGTTTATAGTTAGATAAATCTGATATAATATTCTGCCATTACTCAAATTGGAACTTCAGTAATTGAGAAATGAGCAAATAAAGTCTAAAAATAAAAGCACAAATTATATTTAGTGGAGATTGAAAAAGAGATTATATACAGTTGGAGGAGGGTAGGATGTGAAAGACTTCATGGAATAAGTTAGTATTCAAAGTGAACCATAAGGGATTATTTGAATGGACTTCCATATACAGATAATAGGAGAGTATTCCAAGAGGAAGGAACAAATTGAACTGATGGGAAAGTACAGCCTGCATCTATATAAAAACAATTAGCAACCTGATTTGACTGGTTGGTTACTTCTCAGGGGAGTAATTAAAAAGAAGGCTAGCATGTAGTTCTGCCCATGTTACAGCAGTGCTTAAATGCCAGGGTAGAAGCCTGAAGTTAATGTGATAGACAGTGAAAACTATTTGAAATTGTTGAACTGGGCAGTGAGTAAGTTTGGGATTTGGACTTTAGGAAGACTAATCTTGGTGAAGGATGGATTGGAGTCAAGGAGGCAGAAAGATTAGTTAGGATGGGGTTATGGGAAGAATGAAAAAGAGCTTAAACTGGTGGTGACAGCATACCTAGAAAAGAACTGCAAAATACAGGAAATGAAGGAGAATGAGAAGGGTAGAAACTGAATGGCTGGAAGAATAGTGGCTTCTTCCAGTGGATGAATGTTGTTACTATTGGATACAATGGATATAAGTTGTTACTATTTGATTTCTATATGTATGTATTCATAAAGTGAGGATAATAATACAGGCTATACCATCTTTGCAGGAAACAGAGCTCTGGTCTCCTGGCTAAGTTTTCCTGCAATTTTTTCTGTCTTGTTTCTTATTCTCAACTAAGCCAGTGTGCCTATCAACACTTAACAGATTACTGCATCATATTTATGTTGACACTTCTGTTCTCAGTATGTATAGTTTAACTATCAACTGGAAAATCGTGTGTGCTTTGAAAAGGAGGAACCAATATAAAATTATGATGTTAGTACTAATATAGCCAGCCATATGAAGCTCTTTTGCTTACAAAGGGTAGGGGGTGGGTTATGATAAAAATATATATAATTATAGAAATCTCAGAGTAGCAACCATGGTCTGTGACCAGAACTTTGGCAGCAGTAATTTGTGGGTCTTCCCGTTAGTGAGAGGTACTCCCCATGTATTCTCTTCTCATATCTTTCCACTATCCAAATTACCTTTTGAATCCTCCTTTATATATTTTTTACTTCCACATTTCTAAACAATGTTTCATAGAATGCTATATTATTCACCTCTGAGAGAGTCACAATAAACATTTGTAGCAAACAGTGTTCTACCTTGTTGTAAGAATAAAAGTGGGGCGGGCACAGTGGCTCACGCCTGTAATCCCAGCACTTTGGGAGGCTGAGGCAGGTAGATAGATCACTTGAGGTCAGGAGTTCGAGACCAGCCTGGCCAACACAGTGAAACCCTGTCTCTACTAAAAATACAAAAATTAGCCAGGTGTGGTGGTGCATACCTCTAATCCCAGCTGCTTAGGAGGCTGAGGCACGAGAATTGCTTGAACCTGGGAGGCAGAGGTTGCAGTGAGCCCACATCACGCCACTGTACTCCAGCCTGGGCGACAGAGTGAGAGTCCATCTCAAAAAAAAGAAAAAAAATTAAACAATTAAAAAATTTTAAAAAATAAATAAAAGTGACATTTCTTGAAGTTGGATTTTCTAAAGAGCCTATGTAGATTTGTAAACATTAACACTGTACTACATTGAAGAATTCAATTGGATGTCAGATCTTGGAGCTTTATTTTTTTGTGCTTTAAAAGAATATTGTTAGTGATGGAAGGTTTGTCAAGAGTGGATAATCTTCAAAAAGGAGACTCAGAAGAAGTTAATTAAAAAAAAACAAGAATGTGTTGTTGCATTTTCTTGGGTAATGATAGTACTAGCAATTTTACACATCAGTAATCTTGATAGTAAATTTTAAGTTCCATTTAAGAATCCTCCTGGGTTTTTTAAATTCATCTCAGATTTTTTTTTAGAGTTGAATAAAATTATTAAAGACTAACTGAATGCCTTTGCAATTGTGAATTTTATTATTTGACAATACATATTAGAAAATCTCCCAAATTTAACACAGAAAAAGGTATTCCAATTAACAGTTTTGAAGAGATTATTACAAATAAAATATTCCATCAGTAATGTACTTATTTGATTTTATAGTAGCTGTTTATTTTATTTTAAATATTGATTTTGTTTCTCAGCCAAACCTTAATGTTAAACCTTGGAAAAAAATTGTTTCTTACAGGGCTGATCCCTTATCCAACATGGTTCTAACCTTCCGTACTAAAGAAGATGCAGTTTCCTTTGCTGAAAAAAATGGTATGTTTGGTCTGTTTTTGACAAAGTCAAGATATGGTTTTATGTTCTTACCTTAATTAAAATCAATCGGGTATACAGAATTTGAGTTGAAATCCAGTGCTTTCAATGTATCTAATATTTAATGTATCTAATCCAGTGGTTTCAGACTTTTTAATCTGCGTCAGAACACCCACCTCCAAAAAAAAAAACCTAAATTGGAATACTCATCTAACATGTAAAAGACAAAGTGCTCTAATTTAAAGTACAGACAGGGAATGAAACTACTGAACACCTACCTTTTTTATGAATTCGTCTGTAAAATTATTAACATTTGGTTAAACTTAATTGAACATATATGGCAGCCTAGTCCAGTTTTGACACCTCCATTTACAATTAAGTTCTTTGAGCCAAAATGCAATGCCAAAATCTAGTCTATTAATCTATTTAATAACTCTTCAATTATTTGAAAATATTGTCATATTGCCTGTAAAATTTCCCTTCAGCCTAAATGCCCACATTTGCTACTTTTCTAGATATGGTGGGCGTAATACCAACCCTAATCTCAACTGTATAATAATATTAATGTGGCCTAAGAGTATATTCGCTTTTAGGGCAGCCACCTAACATCATTGGGTTATATTGATCTTGCTATCAACAAAAATGCAAAATGTCTTCCTTTTTCCTTATTTTCTGCTGTTAAGCCAACATAGTATAGTGAAAGGAAGTTTTGTAGTCAGACTAGTATGGATTCTAATCTTGATTATGCCACTTTGAAGCTATATGATTTTGGATTAGTTTCATAATGGACAATGTTTCTTAGTTGAAATAAGGGTACCTACCTCATGAGGCGGGAGATAGCTGATACATAATAGATACTCTACTTGATAACTATTAGTTCTGACCTTCATCTCCCTCCAGCCAGTATGTCTGCTGTTTGTTTTCCTTAGATTCAAATGCACTACTAAACATTTGTACCTAATGTATCCTGTTATTCTAGTTTGTCAAATTGAATTTGTCTAAGTGCATTGTCACTGTAAGGCAGTATATAAAAATAAGAGATTATTAGTGTTGTCTAACATATCTGACATACAAATGTGAAAGCCCTATAAAGGTTATAATCTAACATATTTGCTTTCTTTTCCACTTAGTATTGTATAGCTTATGATTAAAAGTCTGAAGTCAACCTATCGGCCTTTGAATCTGTGTTGAGTCACTACCTGTATGACTTTATACTTCTGTTTCCCCATATGTGCAATGAGAATTACTATGAGGATTAAATGAGTTAATAAAAGTAAAAGTGCGTAGTTAGACTAGGGTCTCACAAATAGTAAGTATATGATAGTATATAAATATATCCTATTATGTTATTAATAGACTTTAAAAAACTTTTTTCAAAAGGTTCTTAAGTGTAATTCCTTATTTATACTTTCTTGGCAAGTTCCAAGTTTCTTAATTACATAATTGTTCTTAAAAGTGGTCTTTTAAAATATTATTTTGACTTAAAATAACATTGCTGGCTTTTTAAACTGTAACGTAGTTATGGAAAACAGTTCCATTAATTTTTTTATCTTTTCAGCTTACCATATTTCATGTCCAACACTTTGAAAATTATTCATTTGAAGTCTGTGACGTGAGTTTAATAACAGGAAATCTAATTAAATTGTTAAATCCCTGGTTAGTCTTTCTCTAAGTGGTCACAAGGACTGCATGACTACAGTTGCCATGTGAATTGCCGGTGTGAGCTCACCACTGTTCCTATTAAAATCAAGTGGCTTTCTCATCTGACTTCTACCTCCCCAGGAAAGAAAATTGAGGAACACTATCAAAGTCTATAGAAAGTGTAACTTTAAAAAGCCGAATGGTTAGTGACGTAAAATTGTAGGCTAACAGTGAATCAGGAATTGTAACGTATAAGATAGCAGAACTATGTCCTGTCTTGGTTACTGCTTTGTGCCTAGCACCTAGCACAAAACCGGACATATAATGGACACTCAATATCTGATGGAATAAATGACTTTCTAAAATATATTTCTCTGGCCGGGCACAGTGGCTTATGCCTGTTATCCCAGCACTTTGGGAGGTTGAGGTGGGTGGATCACTTGAGGTCAGGAGTTGTAGACCAACCTGGCCAACAAAGCAAAACCCTGTCTCTACTAAAAATATAAAAATTAGCTGGGCATGGTGGTGCACGCCTGTAGTCCCAGCTACTCAAGAGGCTGAGGCGGGAGAATCACAAGGCGGAGGTTGCAGTGAGCTGAGATCATACCACTACACCCCAGCCTGGGTGACAGAGTGAGACTCAGTCTCAAAAAATAGTTAATAAATAAATAGAAAGAAACATATTTCTTTACTCAAGAATTTGAAACCATTCTCATCTCCTGGAAACGTCCTCAATGATTATTCCACTCTTGATTTCGCTATAGTACTTACGATCTGCCTTATTTATTTAATGTATAGCATTCTATGTCTTTAAATAGATAAAGCCTGTTTCTTCAGCTACAGTGGAAGCAAGATCTAAATAAACACCATTGAAGCATTACAGAAGTGGAGGTGGGGGATCTTTTCCAAATTCCACAGCATCCCCTTCCTTCTGATTTGCCCCTCTTGGGTAGGTAAATAGTAGTGAAGGACATACAAATGGATCCTCCCTGTCCCCCAGCTAAGTCATTTGTTGTCAGCTAGTGCTATTGAAGGTTGAGTGAACCAATGTTCTGATAAGTTAAGGCATTAAAAAAAAAAAAAAAGTTCAGATGCACTAATATGTAAAGACTACTGGATTAAGAGGCTGGTAACTAAGATTCTCATTCCACAGTGGTCTGCCTCACAGCAGAACTTGAACAAGTCATGCCTCAGTACACTTAGCCTTTTAGAAGCATATTTCTTTATCTTGGAAATGAGAAGTTGGATTGGGTAATGTTCAAAAACTATAGACTTAAGGATGTTAAAGCCCATGGGCTAGTTCATATATGTCTTTATTTCTTTGCTATCTAGCCCAGTGCCCTAATCATATGCTGTCTAGGGGAAAATTAGTTTTTGTTAATACAGCTGATTCTGTGTTAACAGTAAAATATGACAAAGGTTATACATTTGTGGGCGTTAGTGCTTTCCTTTAAGTAGTATCTAGAAATAGGAAGTTAGGGTAAAACTGCCACATTCCTACACAAAAGATGATTTGTATATCACTTATCGAATTACATTTTATATTAATGTAGCCTAAAAGTATATTAGCTTTTGACAGTTATCAAATTGTATTTGATAATTGATATACAAATCAAATATCAATTGTATTTGATATACAGTTGATTATTTGTATACCAATTCAGGGACTATTCTGAAAATAAAAGCCTACCTTTCATCACCTTAGTTTTTTCATTTCCCTTTTAAATGTCAAACAAAAAGAGAAGTCATGAGCATGGTTTCCCTTGACATTAAAGATTGTAGAAAATCAATACAATAAGGGGAGTAAGATTTTCAGATTCAGTTGCTTTCTGGAAAACTTTTTTTTGAGAGGGGGTGGGGAGACAGTCTCACTCTGTCACCCAGGCTAGAGTGCAGTGGCATGATCTCTACTCAATGCAACCTCCACCTCCCAGGTTCAAGCGATTCTCCTGCCTCAGCTTCCTGGACTACAGGCATGCACCACCATGTCCAACTAATTTTTTTTTTTTTTGAAGAGACAGGAGTTTCACCATGTTGGCCAGGCCAGCCTTGAACTCCTGACCTCAGATGATCCACCCGCCTTGGCCTCCCAAAGTGCCGGGATTACAGGCGTGAGCCACTGCACCCAGCCTTACAAAACATATTTAATGCCCTCTAATTATATTTTGAGACTTGGGTAATAAGTATTATCACCACAGAAAGTAACATAAACACTAAATCATGAGCTAGGCACTATGCTAAGTGCTTTTCATTCTCATTTAGTAACTCTATGAAGCAGGAACAGTTATTTCCATTTAATTGTTCAAGGAAACAGGTTTAGAGACATTAAGTAACAGGTCACTGACATACTTACAAGAAGGTGAACAAGTTTTACTTGAACAGTCGTGTTTATTCATTTATATATGGTCTATGACTACTTTTCAGCTACAGTGGTAGAAAAGTAGTTGTGATAGAGACTATATGGCCCCAGAGCCTAAAAATAATTACTACTTGGCCCTTTACAGAAAATTTTAGGTGATCTCTAGTCTAAACTGTTACGTATACTGCCTCAATACTCTGACATTTGTGTAAGTCCCAAAATTCCTTTTATTGAAACATCTTCAAAAGTCTATGTTTAATAGACAAATTCCTCAACTGATAATTCAAAGTTCTTCACAGTATAGGCACCAACTTATTACCAAAGCACTAACAAGTTTTGTCTTACTGTGTTCCGACTCTACTTTCTGCCCTTACATTCCAAACCTGCTATACACCTTCCTCCCTCAACAAGCTCATTAATACTGTTCTCATTCTTATCCCTGCCTATGAAACTCCAACCTAGTCTTCAAAGTCTATTTCATATGCTGTCTCATTTCTTGATCCCTTTTCTTATTCCCCTCCCTCACTTCCACCTCCCGTCTACTACTGGATGAACTCCTCTTTCTTCCTTTTAACTTTCACAGTAATTTGTTCCTTTCTTGCAGCTCTTATAGTATGGTTTTCTCTTTTACCTTTTTTGTACTGCACTCAGTCAGAAGCATGTTGAACACACCCTATTTTATGTCAGCGCTGTATGGCTAGGCTCTGGGGATAGTTAAATAAGGCATGGTTCTTACACTCAAACTGTAATATTTTATCCTGCCTATTGGATTATAAGAATTTACCAGGGAAAACAAGTCCTATTTATATTTTAATGTGCTCAATAAATATTGGTGAATTTTAACAGCAAATTTAGTAATGTTGTAAATGATTCTCCAGATTATGCTTTAAACTTTTCTTTAAATCACCTTAATTTAGTGACTTACTGTTTTTTTTAGAAGAACTGTTAATCTGTTAATTCCCTGTAATTAGAAACCTGAAGAAAGCAAAGTATAGTAGGATGA